TATTGTACCCTTCATTTAGTTTATCTTTTGGATTATTTCACTATTAGATATTAACCAAACACTGCGGATAACACGACGAGCCGATGACTCGCCAAGTCGAACAACAAACCCGAAATACACTGTACCGTCTGTACGTATAGGTCTATATAAATATTAAAATATTATGAATTATGATTATAGGTATTCGCTTTAAACACATATCGTCGGTTTTAATAATTTTGTTTTGATGTTAATATTATAAACTCGTGAAAACATTAATTCGAAATCCGATTGAAAGTTTTCCGAGTATACTATCATCCACAGACGATATCGATTTTGGTAATCCTGTCGGTCAATCGGTTCGAGATGAAAAAAAAATATAACATACTAATATTTACGACACATGTTCCGAAGCCGAACGTTTTGAATATTTATGTTAAATTCACTCTTAGATCCGACTTTAATTCATTTAACTAGGCCACGTCTCGTTTTGTCGTTTTTGTACAAAATTATATAATTGTACCAATAAAAAATACTGCAGTGTATAAAAGAAAACCCGGATTTAATTCGCATGACAGTTACCTTGGTCATTTGTTGAAATTGGAAAATTGGGTAAGTATACGGTTTAAATATATACTTAAAGCCTCGATAAATCATTGCAATAAAAAATGATTCTGAACGGAGCTCATCGGCAAATTGGTATGATAATCAATGATATTATAGTCTTGTTTTTTTTTTTCCACTTATAGCAAAGGTAACCAAGAAATTGACAAAAACTAAAACATATACACTGTCAATTGTTGTCAGTTATTATTTAGTTTTTTTTTTTCTATGAAAACTATCTACACAAATATTACTGAAACGTATTCGTTTATTTTTTTTAATTTGACCAATACACATGCATAGGCTCGTGTTGTAAACAGCTAGTATTCATTAAATATTACGTAAATAAACTGCGTGATTAAATAAATAAGACCATTAGATCGCTCGAAATACGGAAAATCTGTGCTCGACAGTAAAATAAAATACATCTAAATTATATATTATTATATTGCGTATAATGTATAACATCAACGCGGACCGAATCGCTAAAAAAAAAAAAAAAAAAAAAAAAAATGAAAATGAAAAAAATGTCCTCGGTTTTTATTGCAATAAATTTAAGTATACGTAGTACACGTATATAAGTGGACGACTATAGTTTCGATCCTCCCGAATCAATACCCTATCTTCGGGGGCGACGACAGTTATCGGAACGGTTTTCGTCCGGTTCAAGTATAATCTTATAAATAAAATGAGATTACATTATACTGTGTCGTATATTAGCAGATTGCGGACGTTTCTTCAGACGTGCCCACTATAAATAATAATTATTATTTCGCCACCGTGCGGGGGTGTAGCAAATATTTTCGGTTCTATGTTGTGTGGTTGCGACCGCGGTATAACTGTCAGCGGCAAAATAGTAGAATTATAAATCCCATTACTTTCGGTAATGCCCAAAACCGACTTCAGTACGCGACGGCAATAATATTAAGTACGAGATTGATTAAAAACTGCTTGGCGCATACCAATTCGTTTTTTTCGCAGATGGTCCATAAAATATTAATACGTTATTATTATAGTGGTAAATATCAAAACCTGATGAGATAATCAATTGTTTTGTTTTACTAGTATAATTTCATTGATAATATCGTAAAATAATAATAACAATAACTGTGCAACAAGGTGCAATCCATTTTAACATAAATATTACTCCGATTAACCCAAAGTTAATTTACAAATGTTGAAGACAATAATGACTTGAGTTCAGTTAAAAACGAAAAATGAACAAATTCCCCTGATTCTCCGTTTTTGAAGTATTTATAGTCGGTTGAAATATTCGAACTTCCTTAGGTATTAGATTTTATATGAATGATAAAATTGTTTTAACTCGGCAAAAATGTTCAAAAATTAAACGCTAAATTCTTTCATAAATTCATTCAGTTTATTAATTCAATTTTAAATACTCTTAAAGACCTTACACTTTCGTAGGATAAATTAATTTTTTAGACATGGACATTTTTTTTTTTCAAAATTATCTGGCGATTTTGAAACTGGTTTATAGGGATTTACGAGTTTTTAGTTTTTATTCATTTTATATAGATACAACTGTTTGGCAGAACTGTAAAAAAAAAAAGTAGAGCATTAGGCGTTTTAAGATAAAATGTAGACGATAATCGTATAAATTACGATATCCAAAAAAATGTATACCCGAACATCAATCAGAATCATTTTTCGTTAACAAAGGTTTCGTTTTGCAAATAGAAATAAATTTAAAAAACTTTATGTATCTTATCCTTTTTTTCCTTTTTTAATCATTTTTGTTTGGCCCTAAAATTGTATCCGTGTTAAAGCACATTAATACTGAAAAATCTCAAAAATATTTTGAAAATTTGACCGTGTCTAGAAATTTCATTATTAATATTATTTGAAAACTGTAGGCCTTTATGATTATTTTACCGAATCGCAAGAAAAAAAAATTAATACAAAACATCAAAACCGTTAATTTCATAAATTATCCCGTCTTTCCTACATTTTTATCCCACTGTTATCCAATTATTAAGAACATTTTCCTGACAATCAAAAATATATAACTAACTAAACAATAATGATTGCTAATTTTGTAATTTGGGGCGAAACAAGTAATAAAATCGTTAACGCCGTAAATTTGTCAATTTTTCTTTTACATTTTTATATCGTTTTTCCCAATTATTATAAAAATTATTTGAAAAATCAAAACAAATTTCGAATGCATCTTTAAATAAAAAATTCAAACAAAAAATTGCCGTTGCTCTTTTTGATAGGGATAAAGATTTTTTTATAGAAAAATTTAAAAAATCGCACATCATATATAAGTAAAACAGTAAACAGGTGAATAGGTATATTATAAAACTAATACATTCCGTACGCTGTTTATATTATAAAGTTAGACATTATAGTAAAATCAGTTCATTCTGAACGCTGCGAAATTCACTTCTTATAAAGAAGTAAAAATGTGATAAAGTGAGAAAAAAGTGTAAGAAAGAAAAAGAGCTTATTCAGTCGATGGGTAAGCCACTGTTGCAGGTGGGAAGTTGGACACATAGATAACATAATAATTACACCATTCCTCGCTTTGCTCACAAATAAAAATAATTTGATATTAATGGTTACTGGGTTAAGTTCAGCATAATTAAAATATGTTTATGACTAATATTATTATTGATTATTATAATTAATTCAAACCGGGTAACCTATTTGCTGCTGCTATCTAGTGTCAGATAAATAATATATTTCACACGAGTTATATCACATAGATAGCGCTCGTTTTATGTTTTGAAAAATATCTTATTGTGATTACCAAACGTATTCGCCTTATAATATTAGGAATGGGTACTGCATAATGTAGTAATATACTGTATCTAGTTACCTCTCGGTTTATAAATGTTAGTATTTTTAATCACTTGATTTTACTGTGGAACTAATGAAAAAAAAAAGGTAAGATAATGGGGACAGGTGCAGCCACTGATGTAGGTGAGAAGTTAGGAAGGTAAGATACAGACGGGAATTTAATGCATATCTGTCAACGATTAACATTACTAACGAAAAAACGATTCTGAGCGTAGTTCAGTTGATAGTGATGCTTTGTTCACAATATATATAAATATATGTCATTTTGTAGTAAAATAATTAAATAGGCTTTATATATTTTCTTTAATAAAATGTTTTTAGTATTTTAGAAATTTTCCCAGTTTTCCTACGTTTTTCCCGGTTTTCCCATGTTTGTTCGGTTTTTCAAATTTGCTGTGAAAACTCGACCTCTCTAAAATACCTTTGAAATTTCCCTTTAAAAACATTGCTATCGTTAGAGATTGGAAAAATTGTTGGAAGAAAAGTTGACCAAAGGAATAAAAAGGGGCCGTAATATTTTTAACTAATACCTACATTTCTTACATTTTCCAGTTTTTTTTCGGTTTTTCACATTTGTTTAGAAAACTCTTGAGAAAATCGAAAAATAACCAATATCAGGTACCTCTCCACACCGATGTCCATTCAGGAATGTTGCTAAAAATCGGAGCAAGTCTTCTAGTAGAAAAATTGTTCACAGAAAAAAAAATAAACATTTTTGTAAAACCATGATTCTGAGTGGAGCAAAGACTCCACTCAGAATCTAAAATATTATCAACAGCGTTGGATCTACAAATCATGGTCCTTGAAAAAACATAATATCTATTACCATAGACATTTTTATAATAGACATAATCATTCCTATTAGTGTTAACAACAAAAATTTACTTTTTTTATACACCTTCTGAGTAAAATGTACACGTTTAATATAAAATATAACTTATTGTAAAATATATATAAACACCATTAACAATTAGGTTTGAAATTTTTAAACTTATCCCAATCCTCTTCTGTAATATATATAAATTTATAAGAAATATAGGTAATATATGTGATAAAAAAAAAATCGGTTTGAAAAAAAAAATATAAATCTTTTATTTCTTAAATATTTATAAACCATTTTCGTAATACAAACATTTTATAAAATGTACAATGAATAGGATTTAAGTCCATATGAAATACACAACAGAGTAAAGTGTTTCCCACACATAATTGATCCGATCTCGGGCCAAGTCCTCCATATTAATAATGTCCACTTGCGGAATAAATTCTTTGATTAATTGTTTTTTCTGTTCTCCTTTGACATAAATGTGATCGAATTTCAACGAGTGCAAAATCTACCCTAGCTCCTCGTGTTCCACGTCGCCATAAGCTAAAGTCATTTGGTGAAAATTATTTTCGAACCATTTATTAGTCTTGCGAATTTTTCCACGTGAATTTTTTAGTATCCAATGTTGTGTTGCTCACGTTTCAGTATCTATTATAGACATTTCCTTGATTAGATACTTATTATCCGATCTTAAAATACATTCGATATCTAGTATGCCCGACGACATTATGCTACACACGTCCATTTAACACAACGGTTTTATCTGTACTGAGCAGTATAGGCTTTTCCATTTTACTTAATTTAGAATCTAGATCGGAAATGGTAATTACACTCGCGATTAAATCATTTGCAGAAGTTTCAATATTATTTATTTTTATCACGATTTCATTAGATTTTTGATCGAGAGCGAGAAATTTGTTTTCTTGTATTTCCATCCAGTAGGTTATTTTCGCCGTATCTCCTTGTAATGTTTTAATTGTTGCTACGAGTCCGTCGATCATCTTATTTCTTTCACCCTCTAACGTACTACCAAACACGTCCATGGTCAAAGTACGACTAGTGTCATTATTTTAAAACACTTGCATTTATCCAGCTTATGTGAGAGCTATCGAAACCCAGCCATTTAACGAATGCACGGTCGCCATTTCTACGTACTATTTTTTCAACTAAATAATCGTGCAGGAAACTAGTTTTATTTATTTCCTCTGCGTAAAAACATCCGGCTATCGGGTTTCCTTTGTAATCCTCCTACTGATATGTAAACGGTGTTGTATTATTTATTTTTACAACAGTAAAAACTTCGGTAGACCAATTGGGTAAATAACCTTTTGTAAACACACCCTTATTTACACTAACTCGTACTTTATCACCGACTATGTATTTTTTTCTTTCTAACAGGTATATTCCGTTGTTATAATATCACCGATGATGGATTTTTATCAGACTGTGCCGGAGTCATTTCGATAATTCGATTTTTGGAATTTTTATAATTTTCGATCAACTTTGATAATATAGAAACCCATTCGCGATATCCGTTTGCGGTAAACGCTCGAAACATATTTTCTTTTTAGAGTACGGTTAAACCGTTCTCCAATGCATGCCTTAGTAGTACAGAACGTAGAATATTTGTTAACATTATGTTTAGCCATTAAAACATCGAACGATAAATTGTAAAATTATTTTCCATTATCAAGTTTCAATAACTTTGGTGACCGAAAAGTTAATATATCAGACATCGCTTTTGCAACTTCTTTTCCAGTTTTTGATTTCAAAGGTACGGTCCATACGTATTTTGTAAAGCAGTTTATTACACATAATATATAATTATAACCTTTATTTTGTTTTGAAGTGAAATGAGAATATGGACGTGTTCGTTTTCATTCCGACGATTGATCTAGAGCAGCGACGAGAATATTGTGGAAACAGATTTGAATTTATCAAGTACTCAACACTACTTGAAACCGATTTCCCCACAATTTTGATTTTGTCACTCTAAATGAAGAAATCATTAACGCCGCAGTAAATATTCACAATCATTATGAAAACCGCTCGGAAAATCCAAAACGACCGCTTCAATGCATCAACTTAATCCAAAATGCAACAAAAAAAAAGTATCTTGCTATCTTTAAATGTGAGCGAGATTTTTGGTAGAAATGTAGTCTTTCAGATGGAAAAAAAAAACACACTAATGTAAAATCAATACACAATAATATTCCTGGTTACACTCTAAATCTTGTTGCCACTACAAAATAAATTATAATTGTAAACAAACCAATCAAGGTTCTCGTATTTCGTTAGTAATATTGTTTATCGTTGATTACAGGTATAAATTATCAAATAACTTTATGTATCCCACATTCTCAACTGTCCGTCCCCGGTATTAGCTCTTTTTAATACTCGCCTTCGTCATTTTTAAATATTGGTCAAATATAAGAATTTACTTACCTCGTACCAAACCCTGTTGGAAATATCAAAAGAGCTCCGCTCGCCAACGACAATATCATAAATCCGGTACAGGTACGTCCCGGAATTGGACGACTGTTCGAATTTTAATTATCGTTCAAATAGTTACAACGATATTAACCGAATTAATTGGAAATTCGAAGCGATTTCGACTTTGCAGTAATGGTAGTAGTACCAAGTAGATATAGTACTGAAGTATTAGTTTCGTTGAAAATGGTAAAAGGACGGTTTTGTAGAACACTTGCGGAAAGCTGAAATTATTGTCACTTTACTAAAAATTTGACTGTAGACCTTCTTCGCTACAGTACCTGAATATACATTATTATCGATCGTATACATTAGTTGGCACCTGCGGTACTATAACTGGCATAATCAGCGTTTCCATTTTTGTTTTTTTTTTAACGGATAAAAACGGGTTTTTAAATACGCACATACAAGTGCCGGTAATAGAAACAGGGCCGGATTATAACATTTTAATACCCGGGGAAATTTTCAAGGAAATGACCTGTTAGTATTTTTTTTTTTTTTTTTTACAAAAAATAAGGCACACAAACACAATCGTGATACCAACTACTTATAAAACCACTCGCAACATATGGGGACAATAAATTATTTACGACAAATAATTTAAACGTTATTAACGTATAAATCGAAAATGTTGTACTAAACAAGTTATAGTTTTAGAAGTACTTCGTAATAGTGTATTGGAAAATAAAATCTGTGGTCAATATTTCTAAGTTTCAAGTTTAAGAAAAATAATTATTGGTAATAATAACATGTGTGTATTATTTATTAATAAATCTAAAGTAGTATTTGATTCTTATTTTAACGAGTAAAAACGAAATTACAATATTGGAATCATAGTCCACATATATGTATAATATATTAGCATACGCATATCTGTGATTGAAACATAATAATATCAGGACTTATAGAATTAAAAATAAAATCGAAGAAACGAAGAACAAAGAACACGCAATAATAAAATTAAACATAATAATAATAATAATAATACCCATACGACACCTATATGTTGTTTATTTGATTAAGTTAAAAATACGTATAGGTAAACCGTACCTATAAAATTATACGAAAGTATAGCTTATAATAGATTGCCTACATAATTGTATCGTAACGATAAAGTACGCTGGTGTTTTGTCGGTGGGCTCTGTTTTACTTAAGGTAGTGGGGAATAATGCAGACCACGAATTAAGATTTACAGGATACTGACCGGAAAGGTCTTATCAAAGTTTTTCTAAGTCCGCCCGGTTCTCACTATTTGGCATGACAGCAAGCGCTTTAAAAAATATTTGGTATAAGTTCGAGACTTAATAAGCAAAAGTTCGTTCGGTACCCTGTATATCTTAATTCGTGGTGCAGACTAAGAAACGAAATACACGTGACGTAACAGCAGTATTGATTTTGGATTTTCATAGAAAATACAACACTGGCATAAGTGACTGTTAACAAATATTATAATTAGAACTGGTCTTTGAAAAATCTCCGAGCACCACTGCATGTACCTAAAACTATTTTAATATACCTAAACATTATGCTATAGGTACCTCCTATACATTATGTTAAACTGTTTAACGCGATATTTATGATTTTGAACCGTGGATATTTATGGTATTTTGTCTGTCGCTACAAAAGTTATTTTTCATATTTTTTTTTTATAATAACAATAAACGATTATATTAAAATCGGAACTATCGCATTTCGCATTTATGGTATCGTATATTTATAACCACACAAACGTATTTATAAATACTAAATTCGTTGTTATAAATCCAATGATTGATAGATAACTAAAACGTAACATCAAAAGTGTCCGAGTTTTGAGTTTAAGTCCGCGAAACTCTGAACGTTCGTCAAAACAACATCAAAAAATATTTATTACGCCGGTCGCCATAGCGACGACCGTTCTTACAGAAATAACACGGATAATATTGCTGGTATGAATTAATTCTATCGGAAGTACCGTTCGCTAGCTAAATACACAAACAAATCAACTGTTGCTTCGTGGATACGGTCGCCGGAAAAGTTAACGAGGGCCCGGCAACCGAGTAAACAACCTTAGTGTGCGATCCGAACAAAAAAGGTAAGAATAATATTAATTAACAATATCAAATTAAAGTTCAATATACCTAATATTATAGTTTTTGTTTTTAGCTTTTTGATTTCCCTGCACATTCACGCGAGTCTTCGTCTTCGTATATTTTCCAATTATATGATCAACATGATGTCCACCGTGGTTTCGCTAGTAGAGAGCATGCTTTCCACGGCGATTTTGACGTTACTGGTTCTGTGTTGGCTATGCGAAAAAAATACAAACATTGCCGTCCTCGTATGGAACGCAATCGTTCTAATAAGGTACGCGCGTGTATTCGAAAAACCGTTTTATGTTGTTTTTTGTCCGTTTTAAAATAAGTAATCGGTGTCTTACATCGGGCGAATCACCTCGTCATCGCTACCCGCCGGCAAATAAAATGGACGATAGTGGTCTGCCTTTTCCGTCATTCGCGGGTTATATCCTATAAGATATGTACGTGAAAAATATCGTTTCCCGTGTTCACGACTAGCCTGGATTTTTATTCAGATTTANTCCAATTATATGATCAAAATGATGTCCACCGTGGTTTCGCTAGTAGAGAGCATGCTTTTCACGGCGATTTTGACGTTACTGGTTCTATGTTGGCTATGCGAAAAAAATACAAACATTGCCGTCCTCGTATGGAACGCAATCGTTCTAATAAGGTACGCGCGTGTATCCGAAAAACCGTTTTATGTTGTTTTTTGTCCGTTTTAAAATTAGTAATCGGTGACTTACATCTGGCGAGTATATGCCAATAGAAAATCGCCCCTCGTCACCGTAACTCGTCGGCGAATAAAGCCGACGATCGTGGCCCGCCTTTGCCGTCATCCGCCGGTTGTATTCCAGTGAGTAATATACGTGAAAAATATCGTTTCCCGTGTACGCGGCTGAACTGGATTTTTATTCGGATTTTAATAGCCCGGTGTAGGTACCTACAGTTTTATTCGCTGACGAACGGTGCGTGTAAATTCGCCAAACGTTATCCGACGTGGCTGCAAAATGCAGACATAGGCGATATTGTACGGATATTTTTTTTCTATGTTAACTGTCTAGGCATATAATATTCATTTTTTTTTGGTATCTAATGACCGATTCATCATCGCTCGACCCGTACCGCCACGGGGTCTAGAATCTCGAAATTCAGCACGGAAGTTTATTATATTTTGTACAACGATAATATACGGGCAACTGTACACTATATGGTATAGAAACTACAAAGGATTTTTAAAAATTCGACCATCGATGACCGGCACACGCACATACGTTTTATTCCTTAAATCACGGAAATCGCGTTTTATCTTTATTCTCTTTATTTCTGAATTCTATCTTTTATGCATGTGAGAAGAAAAGTGTACGGTGTTCATTTTGTTACATTTTTGAATTCAAAAGTCATAAAATAATCTACTGGCGTGAAATTTGTCACTGGCAAGACCGTTGCCTTCAAACCATACCTATGGAAGTAAAATACTATTCGAAATTTCGATGATCCGACGAGAAACAAACGGTTATTAATGATATTACCCCGAAAAAATATAGCGTCATTAAAATATATGTTATAAAATACAGAAATATATATTGTTTTTTGGTCTAATATCCTTCTGTGTTACACGAGAGAAAAACTCAAATTTAATTTCTAATATAAAATGAAAACTTGCACATGTTTTTAAACGGATAATTCGATCTGTATTTTCCGGAGTATACGTTGAAAATACCTGCTCGATTTGTGTCTTTACTAATTACATTTATTATGATATATTTGGTGTGTTAGAAATTATTGTAATACCTATTAGATTAATGAGTTTTAAATTTAATTACAGACACGCCTGGCAATTTATAGTAAAAGATATGTACACGTTGTTTAAAAATGAGTATCCAGTCGACGATAAACCTGATTTAGCGGTATCTTCCAGTAATCAATCTGGTGATCACACTTCGTGTCCCATGGCGGCTGACCTCGTTTCACAGTCGTTCCCCCTTTGCCACTTTCCATTTTCACAGGGAGGAGAAAATACCGCCCAGGAACTCGGTAAATATACATTCTAAGATCGACTTCTCTATAAACACTCTGACAAATACAACCTATCTCCTACTATATTATTTTTGATTTCATGTAGAAGAAGTCATAAGAAACATGCAAGTTGTTGATTTGACAATAAAAAGAGTACAACCAGTCGAAAATAGCATAAACTATTTGCAGTTTATTTATTTTGGTTTGAACTTGGAAAAAGGAATATTATCGATATTTCTCGTACGTATTTAATTTTGATTTGAGTTTATATTTTTTTCATCTTATGTTGCAATTAAACTTATTTTCACTACTTTTGACCAATATTTAATATTTAATAAAATATAATGTATGTTACATTGAGACTTTATAGTATTGTAATTTAAAAGAATTAAATTGTTTTAACATTTTGCAGGAAATGTTTGAGTATGTTGATTCTCATATTCTTGATCAGTTCGATTGCTGGTATTATCGCATTGACGATTGGGAATTGGAAATTGTTGGGATACTTAATGGGGAATCAATTGTTCTTGAAATGAGACTGTAAGTGGTTTTTTAAGGTTTTAGTATAAATTATTACACTTATCAGTTAAATTGTATAATATGCGTTTTTTTTTTTTTTAAATTTAATTATAGACACGTTTGTGAAGTGATAATAAATAACGGACGTTCTAATGAACCGGACGTCAAAGAACCAGAGTCAACGGATTCTTCCGGTTATAAGGCTTGTGATCAAGCTTCGAATTCTTCGATGGCTGACCTCATTTCACCGTCGTATCCCCTAAACGTTTGGTCTTCGGAGACAGGAGATAATCCCGCCCAAATTATCGGTACATATATATTCTGGGATAGACTTCTGTATAAAAATTATGACGAATACCCACCCGCCTCCTAATAAATTATTGTTGAATTGATGTAGATTCGGATGGGGAAGAACCCGAGTCAACGGACTCTTCCGGTAATCAGAGTTGTGATCAAGCTTCGAGTTCTTCGAAGGATGACCTCGCTTCACCGTCGTTCCCACTTTACGTTTGGCCCTCAGAGACAGGAGATAAAGCCGCCCAAATTATTGGTACATATATATTCTAGGATAGACTTCTGTATAAAAACTATGACAAATACCTACCTGCCTTCTTATAAATTATTGTTGATTTGATGTAGACGAATCCTGCATGGAGGCAATAATTCGAGTGGTCANGAAAAATATAATATATATGTTAAAATGTGATTATAGTTATGTAATTTAAAAAATTTAATTATTTTAACATTTCGCAGCAAATGTATAGGCGTATATATTGTCATTTGCATGATCAGTTAGTATGGTGGTACAATCGTAAATGCCATTCGGAATTAGAGATTGTCGGTAAACTCTATGGAGGGTTTATAGTCCTAGGAATGAGACTGTAAGTGGTTTTCTAAAATTTCTGTATGAATAATTACATTTATAAGTTAAATTACAGAATATGTGTTTTTTAGCAATTTACCGGACGAATGGAAGCCAAGTGCTAGAATGGTATTAAACCATTTAGAAAATGATGATAGTCAATATTTAAACTTCGCCAGATCCGCTTTCAAACAGTTGAATCAAGATTTACCGAAGAAGTATTCACATCTAATCAAGGTGTGTTAAAAAAATAAAAATTACTGTAATGTATTATTTTATACTTATACAATTTCTTAGAATACTTAATCGAATTAATATTCGATTCACAGTTCAAACAATATACCAAATAATAATATAGTAGGCAATGGAATAGCCAATAAGTTTCGCAAATTATCATTTTCTTATCAGAAATTCGCGATGTTTACAAAACTCAGATAAAAATTACTTAATGATCACTACCACCATATTAGGCTCTTTAAAAATGGTGGTGGGTAACACGTGCATCACACAAATANATTTCTTAGAATACTTAATCGAATTAATATTCGATTCACAGATCAAACAATAAAGCAAATAATAATATAGTAGGCAATGGAATAGCCAATAAGTATCGCAAATTATCATTTTCTTATCAGAAAATCGCGATGTTTACAAAACTAAGATAAGAATTACTTAATGATCACTTCCACCATATTATGCTCTTAAAATATGGTGGTAGGCAACACGATTTTTGAGATTTTTGTACGGCGAAATGATTCTCGTGATACACTCTTACTTATATACTTTGCTACTGAAAAATATGCATGTCAGGAGACTGCAGGCGTTGGTTCTGGTGAATTTTTACAATATAATATGTACCAAACATATCGTAGGTATAGGTAGCTAACAATAAGTAATAAAATGTCAAAAATAAAATAGTCTATCAACAAATAAATAACCATTTTTCGTTAATGATACTATACAAATTATCTCACAAACGATATTATTATAACCAAACTTACCTAATATTTAATGTACTTACTTATATTTTCAGAATATGATCGATAAGCCACGGATAACAACCACACAAAAAAAGAAGCCTATCGTCTTGCCATCCTATGCTTATAGCTATGAGTATTTGTGAAATAACGTGTGTACGTTATTTTTCTTTAAATTATTGTTTGTTTAGTTAATTACTTTGATACGTTTTTTTTTACATTTTTTTTTATACTTTTGATACAAAGTTCAATTTGGCCAAACGTTAAACGAAGATTGAAATCATTAGAACCCATATTATGTTATTTTGATTTATTATTGTTTTTGTATTTGATTACTTTGTTATATTTTTTTTACACCTTTGCTACAACAGTCAAACGTACAAATATGGTATTATTATTATTTTTTTTTTATTTGATTAAATTTTGTGGTACCTTCTTATGCCTTTGTTATTAAACTTTGTTAAATATCTGAATAAAGACTTTACGAAAAACCCGTACGACATCGATATATGATTTTGTAAAATAGTTGTGTTTCTTCCTTTCCTCTCATCCCTCTTCTCCATTATCGCCTCGAAATCAGCGTATATAACAATGGGATGACGTTTTGTTTTTCCTTACGCATCGAATTTCTATTTTATCCACGTTCAGGCATTACGGGCAAAATTGGTTTGTGTTCACCGCAAATTAATTTATGTTAATCGAGTGCGGCCTGCCCGCTCAATTTCATCCTCGGTCCGTTATCGAAATCCGTGAAGCACCGTTTACAGAAAATTACTTCCTCATTATGTTTGGTTTTTTGAGATCTGACGAGACGAGAAAAGTTAGAGATGTAAGTATAATGGGACTTTTCGTTTTCGTTTATTAACAGCAGGTCGAAATGGTCAGTCTTCTCCACTACGGTCACTTTAAGCGGAAAAACGGTATGTACCGTTTTTTTTGTTTTTTACCATACGAATATTGGGGTTGAAAGAAGAATCGATTTCTATGAATCCCGGTGTTTTCACTAGAGACAGGCTAGTTTTTTTCACTCTGGCTGCGGCATCTTCTTTAAGTACACGTTTCCTACCTACAGAGACAAAAAATTAAAGCTGATTCCCTACGTGGTGTGGGGCATAAAAAAATAAATCTCACCATTATCCATTTCGAAATCCATGTCAAGTGCCGCAAGCAACTCGTCGTTGTCTTCGAAGCCGCTCCCCCGTACATCTTTGTTGGACGGCCCGTCATTCGATATGTCAGCGATTGCGGAATAATATTCGAAGGACCGGCTTGCCGGGCAATAGTCGGCAGAGCGACTCTTCCGTCGTGGTGGATAATTTTAACGTGGACATCGTGGCTGTCTTTACGCGAAAACATTTTCGGGCACAGAGCGCACTGAAATCGTACACCGTCGTGCAATTTAGCGCGGCGAGTCGTATTACGTTTGACATTAAAAACTCTTCCGCGCCCGGCGTGTCGGTACATTCGAACGTATTCGTTTTTAAACGGAAAACAAAACAACGTTGTATTACGAGAATTTAAGAAAAATTAACACAAAACGAAAGCGACGGGAAAACTGGAAAAGACGAGTGCCACTGGTTGGTAGTAAAATCACTGCGGACGATCGGTTTGTTATCGAACCTGCGAAACTCGGTTTACGTTCGCGGAAAGAACCCGTGCATGATCGAACAGGAAAACCGAGAACAATACACTTTCTCGTACAGGTCCTCGCATGCAACAAACACACACTGCGCACGCCGCCGACGGTATTCCGTTTTCGTACTGGATTCTCGGAACGGTACGCACATTGTGAAGGGTCGAGAGGTCCGTCGTCGCCAGCGATTATATTTCGTATTGTGCGCGGAGGAGGCGACGGTCATACATCGCATAGGTAACAAGTTGCGTACGAGTAACGTTGTATTTGTTAAAATAATCAACGGGGAGTATATATTTCGTACAGGTATACGAGATACTCGCTATGCACAAGATACGCGGAAACATCGTCTTGAAATAACCGTAGGTATTCGGATGTATGTATAACGATTTATGTATTAGGTATGTCTCGTAATAACAGTAGGTATACCGATATATGTATTAGGTAAATCTTGTAAGAACAGTAGGTTTAATCGTGACAAGAGTAACCACGGTAATAATGTCGGTGATAAGAGTGTGGTAATAATAATGTCGAAAGTGGGCGCGACCTAAATGGTCTACGATGTGGTGGAAAATTCGGGCGGGCATGTATTAGGTATAGCACTTGGTCTTTGCTCCTGCTCCTGGGGTAGAACTCTTCTTTTTATACTACTGGCCTGGACAGCTAGTACATTATATTTTTCAATGATTTTTTTACCGGGGACTTTGTTTTTTCTAATATCGTTTTGCCCGTCGGCGATACGTTTTATTGCTTAAAGCTCTATTCCACCGTGCATGGTCAAAAATCACGGTCATTTATCATTCACAATAGTAACTCTGTATACGGCCGTTGCCACAAACTTCTTTTGCTGGGAATCTCTCCTGAAAGTATAATCAATGAAATAATAATAAAAAAAAAAAAAAAGACTACATAATAGATGCCCTCTATTTTTACAACGATCAAATTTAGAATGGTTTTGGCACGCGTGGATGTCATCGTCGTGATCTATAATATTATTCGAACTAACGAGTCACGATAAAAACCTTTCGCATTACGGCGAGTTACCGTTTTTCGGATAATTCGTGTGCGATTCGGATTTCGGTGTGTCTTGTGTTCTCAGTAATAGTTCATAATAATGTAACATTATACTCTCGCGTTATTAATCGAGGGGCCCCGAAACGGGTAACAAACGTCGCGGTTGTGCGGTGACGCGGACCCGCGGACGGTCAGAACGCAGCAGTTTTAGCAGCGCCAGCAGCCGCCGACAAAGCGGACGCAAACGAGCGAGTAAAACGCAAGAAACGGTGAAACGGCACAGAAATTATCGCATGGGTTCGGCCGGGCAGCGGCGTCGTCGTCGTCGTCGTCGAACGGGTTGGGCGCGGGGCGGCAGGGGGACGGCGACGACTTTCAGTCGCCGACTCGCCGCCACGGACGCGCGTTATTGTTATTTCCAAACTGGCCAGCGTTTCAGCCGGCGCGTTGAGGTATCGGAACCATTTTTCCCCACCGGTCACACTGTAACGTTGTCGGCGGCGGCGGCGGCGGGGGGAGACTGACCGGCGTTCACGCTCTCCGCGACGTCTTCCCTGGCGAGCTCGGTTACTTTTGCTCGGGCCCGCGGAACGATCGCTCGTCTGCGTCCGTCCGTGACGCCCGTATTGTCAATGGTTCGTTTTTCTTCATGTCGACCGTTAGCGTACCGACAATAACGTGTGTGCGGACGGCGTCCCGACGGTAATTTCGTCGTTCGGTCGCCGGCTCACCGAATCTGGTAAGTATTACGCGCGTGGTTTTTTTCTGTCATCGTCACGGTTGTGCGACCGGCCTCGACGTTGTTAAATGTTATCATTCGTATCATTCGTTACGTACGTCGCCCGAAAATCCTATCGGTGCAGCAATTTTCGCGCGTGAATTGTCCGTGGCCCGTCAACGAACGGAGCCCGGCCCCTCCACCGGTCGGTTGACCCCAAAGCGGCCCCGCGAAACCGGCGTGAGGTTGCCTGTGATGTAGGATTACGATATATCACATTCGTACGTGTCATCGTTCGATACTTGTCCGCGACGGACAATAGTGCGAATCGAATAGCCGGAAAAAACTATTCCGGTCGGTGCTCGTATTTTTTTTTTTTGGATTATTGCGACCGTCCGTCGTGATAATATTTCGGTGCCTTTCGTTCGGTACGTTCGTCGTCGCGTACGGGTCCGGCTCCTGTCCCGGTCAGTATATTCCACGGAATGGTGCTTTTAAAAAAAAAAAAATACAAATTATTATGGTACGATCACGGTTTCGATTACGTGGTTACTATTTGGTACTGGAATACCGGCAGGAGGTTGTCAGCGTAATGTTATTATGCAGTATTTAGTTATAGAAAAAAAAAAAAAAAATACGGAAAAACAACGTGGCGACGTATGTACGACCGTGTAGAACACGATTGCATGTTTTTTTTCGATAGATAAAGAATAAAAAAATTATGTTCTAAGTAATAAAATATATTTTTAATAATATATATTATCCTTACAAGTTTATAACCAAGTGGTTGCGTTAATTTTTCTATTTTTAAAGAATTTCAGCGGCAGAAGTTTTCTGAACATCACATAGTCGATGATTTGTTGTTTGTTTCCATAAACGTTCAAGTTCGGGAAATGAGCAATCAATGTTGTTGATTATTTTATCAAGATAACGTATGTTATCTTCAGGTTCTAGTAAATTCAATCTCAACATATTGATTATTTTAATGGATCTTAAAATTGTTCTTAATATTAAATTAAAATTTTATTGTATAGCTGTTCTTTATATTAAATAGTTGTACAATAAAATATGGTATGGCATACTAAACAAATTTAATTAAAAAATTAAACTAATTAATTTTTTTTTTTAATGATATTTCTGTCAAATTGAATATCGTGTCTACTGTGTGGTATGATTTAGCTATTTTGCTAGATGACTTTTTGTTGAATACCAGACCACTGGATGTAAGAGTCCTCATCGTGTTGTAATATTTGGCATATAATTTGCCTTTTAGATTTTTATTTAGACCATCTAATAAAATAATTGTCTTTTAAAACATAAATAATTATATATACAATATAAGTGAACCGTAAATTATAAAGTAGATTAAATGAATGATTTTATTTTATTGTGTTATTATACAATTTAACATACTTTTACTTAAGATTGAAAATATTTCAACAATATCTGAACCAATACTGGAAACCAGATTTACAAACTTTGTAATTTAGTATTATGTAACTAATAACTGTGTCAACCAATAAAGTTCTTATACTATTGTTCAATTTGTTTAGATTAATCCAAAATCATTTTTCCAGTAGCTGTTGAATTTAAAACTTCTTGCAAGCATATTTTCATAGATGGTAGTGTTGCAATATGTTCTTTTGATATTGACAATTGATTTTGATGATTATATACAGGCAGATTTATGTTGATCTTTAATAAGGCGACTGATCAAAATATAGTAATTAAAAAGCTCGATTATTATAGCATATAAGGAGTTCTATTGAACTTATTTAAATCTTTTTTTTTAACATCATTATTAATATTATTGAATTAATTAAAAACCCATTAATACCCAAGGTAAGAAAAAGGCTAATTTTATGTTTTTGTGTTTTAATATAGTATATATACTTATTACTATATATTCAAATAACAATTTACATAGTGAAAAAAAAATTATAGCTTTTTAGTTTTTTTACAACAAAATGTTGCGTATACGCAATGTTAGAATTACCAATGTTATTATTGTGAAATTGTTCAAAGCAGTGTGTGTGAAAATACACTTGACACACGTGTATATAGTGCTTTTACACTGTCTACATTGTTTTCTGGCTTTATTTTTATCTTCTACTATCACTTGACTGATATTATCAACTCAAATTTCTACTGGTAATGCGCTTTTAAATGGTCGTCCGTAATTTAGTTATTTGGTCCCGAAATATCTTGGTCTTGAATACTATTTTCGGTGGCTGGTTCATTCATTAGAACGACTGCTCTATAGGAGTTGGAATTCTATCTGCAACATTTTTGATTCAATTTAATCAAATTATAATTATAGAAATTCATTTAAAGTAAATTATTGAATTTTTACAATGAAACTTAATGATAGGTACCTTATAATGCCATATACTTTCCAATAGCCCCATATAATTATAATTTTATTTATTTGTACATGATTATAACTAATTGTTTTAACTTAACAAAGCCTTTTTAAATATTATAAAATAAATATTTTATAGAATTTAAAATAATGTGTAACAAACATGTAGATACATATTTTTTTTTTTTTTTTTTTTTTTTTTTTTTTAANCGCCCATTGGAGGTACTTAAGGTTAGGATTTTAGGCTAGAAATTTTAGTTTGCTAGTAGGAGAGGGTGTGATTACAAAATTAGGGAGATAGAGGTATAAACAATTTTATATTAGTAGGTCACGACACCAGGTACGTTTTAGACGCCTTCTGGGGTCACCAGGAATAGTGTTGATAGATAGTTCGGTAATCAGGGGATTACGATGGCTGTGGAACTTGGAGTGTGTGCGTTTGTAGAAAGTTTTTGCAACGTTTTGAACTGTTGGAATAGCTAGATCTTTATGTAGAGTGTCGTTAGATACAAAGTAGGGAGCTTTGGTTATTTGACGGAGACATTTAGATTGGAAGATTTGAATTTTATTTAAGTTGGACTTTTTGGCTGCCCCCCAGAGTTGGATACCGTATGTCCAGATTGGTTTGAGTAGGAGTTTGTATAATAGTAGCTTGTTTTTTAAGTTGAGATGTTGTGATGTGAGGAGATAACGTAATTGTCGAGAGCGATTATTTAAGGCAAGTCTTTTGTTGTGGGTGTGAGTTGCCCAAGTTAACCTGCGGTCTAAATGTAAACCTAGGTATCTAACATTTTGGGCGGTTGGGAGAGGTACATTGTTGAGGAAGATGGGCGGGCAGACTATTTGCCTTAGAGTGAACGTATAATGGATGGATTTTGTTTCATTGATTTTTATTCTCCAGTCTTTATACCAGGTTGATAAGAGATTGAGGTGATTTTGTACGAGGTTTGAGGCTATTTCGGGGTCGGAATGGATCGCTAGGAGCGCCTTGTCGTCAGCAAAATCACCAATTGTAGTGTTGGGGGTGGTAGGTTGATCTGAGGTGAATAAATTGAAGAGTAGAGGTGCTGTTACGGAACCTTGAGGTACCCCTGCGTGGATAGGTGATACTTCGGATAAGGAGAAGCCAGATCGAACGGAAAAATGTCTGTTTTCTAAATAGGATTTAAATAATAGGAAATAGTAGGTGGAAGAATAGATTTGAGTTTGAAGAGTAGGCCTTCGTGCCAAACTCTGTCGAATGCCTGTGATACGTCGAGGAAGGCAGCTGTGCAAATAAGCTTTTTCTCAAGAGTGTACGATATTTTATCCACAAGACGATGGACTTGGTGTATTGTAGAGTGGTTATGACGAAATCCAAATTGGGTATTAGGTATATTGGCTTCAATGATAGGAAGGATGCGTTTTAGGATAATTCGTTCAAAAATTTTAGAAAATAGTGGAAGAAGACTAATGGGCCTGTATGATTCGGGAGAGTCGGGAGGTTTGCCAGGTTTGGGGATGTAGATACATATAAAACTATAATATTATTGTGGTCATAAAATAATAACTTTAAAATTAAATATTTACTTGAATTAAAAATAATGTTATTATATGTTATAATAATATTATTCTTATCGAATATAAAGATGTCAAAAATAAATTCAAATGAGTGGGTACTGTTTAACTTAGTTTTGTTGCATAGATATATTAATTAAAATGATAATACACTTAGTTTTTATAAATCAATTAAAAATAAGTCAATCATACTGTTCATATTATTAGCACTATTATTTACAAATTCTGGTAATAATATTAACTATAAATATTATTTCCTTTGAGAAATACAAGTTTTTCAAAATTAGCATTTGATCAATTATCTTTATTTGGGACATGAATAAATTCAGCAAACAAAAACAATCTTTCGACTGGAGTTGATGGTAAACTTGTATTGTATCTGGTGAATAATTTGTTTACAGTAGGATCAATACCTGTCTCAATATGTTAATGCCTTATTTTTATTGTTAAAAAACTGAACTACTTCTAAATTCTTGAGAAGAAAATACTAAAAAGTCCTCATCGTCTATATAATCTACTGATGACTCATTCATTATTTATTTTCCAGCAGTGTTGATACTAAGACTTTTAACTCTATTTTTCATAATTTCATCATGTTCAGGAATCCATCTTAATTTAAATGTATGATGAAAACAAGGTGCCGATATAGCTTCATTAACTTCAGGAGAGAGATCAAAATATGGTTTGAATCATTTTTCTAACAAGGTTATTAATGGATCGATGAAGTTGAAAGCAAATGTTGTTTCTTTAATAATTGCGATGGACTTTTTAATGAAAATAAAGTAGGAATAAATGGCCATAGTAAAAACTTGATTCACTTTGTAGATGATCCAGAGCACAAGCTTGGTTTCATTATTAAAACAAATTCAGTCAAATAACTTATGTCAGTTTTGTTAAATTGATATTTTAAACCTAATTCTTTAGTCAAGGTGTTTAATTTTGCTTTATGTTAAAATAATTGTGGTATGAAATCATATAATGAATCCCATCTTGTAATAGCAAGATATTTTAAAGAACAATTAATTATATTACTAATAACTTCTGATGATTTCAGTCTTCATGACAAATTCCATAAGGTCAAACATTATGATAATGCTGAATGATGGTACTTTTTAGCATTTGAATTCTTTAATATATTCTGGAAATCTGTACTAGACTAAGTGTATGTGATGCACAACATAAATGTTGGGGTAGTATTCTTAGTAGGATGTCTCCATATTCATTTCCACCAATAACCAAAAATGATAACTCATTGTCTTCGTTAAGATCTTTGTCCATATCCTAAATATATTGACCCGTTATAAAATCAATCATTATAAAATAATTTATGTATAATATATACCTTTGTCAGAGTCTGTCTGAATCAGTGTTTGATGTCTTTATTTTACAACCAAACTCCTTGAATGATTTTACAAAATTGCACCCATTATCTGTTACTGTAGAAACTATGTTATCATTACTTAAATAAAAGTTGTCTTAACCATAATTTCTCCAATTTTATCAAATTTATGTATCAATGTATCATTTTATCAAATGCACCAAAAAATTGTTGGCAAACTAGAACACGACTATGACGGTATAAGGGCGATGTTTTGTCATCGATCTGAAAATATTATAGCCTATAGTTGCCATAGGCTATAAAATAATCAAGTTTACCCAGTGAGCTGTAATGCCTATAAAATTGCGATGTTTTGTCGACCAAATGTCAGCAGTGGTCATACAAACGTGGACTTCAGAATGTGTTTGAAAAAATAATTTTTAATTATTTGAAACATTGTTATATTTGTCATTTATATGTCTACCAACTGTTAGGTTAAGTTCTCCTAGATATAATTTTAATATTTGGATCTAAATCTAAATAAGTATATTATTTGAAATTGGATTAAATACAATTAGTGTATTTTATAAATTATCATAAATGGGTACCTACCCAAAATAAGTTTTTGAAAATCTTTATTTTCAGTTATGGATAGGGATTTCATATTGTTAACAATAAAATTAACCAAATTATTTTCATATTTGGTTTGCTTCAATCCTTGGCTGTTAGATGTGAATAAATTACTTAGTTTTATCTGTTTAGAATTTGTCATACTTTTATTATTTTTCTTTTGAGTGTTCATCTTCACATAATTTTCAAATTCTTCAAATTTAGTAAAATGAACCCTCTGAAAAGTAGACAATTAAATAATAATTCTACGCCCTTTTAATAATTAATAATTCATATTGTATTAACTACAAAAATTAAAACTTGCCTTCATATGAGTACGAAAATTCGAAGTGTGGTGTTTAAAAGAACCAGATATTGTTTTTTTTTTCATTCTTCTGTTCCTTACATATACATATTGCTTTCACAATTTCGTTCTTAACAATTAAAACTTCAAACAATTGTCCATCTAATATAATGGGTGTTTTATCCATATAACTTCGATTAAACTAAAACCAGTAATGCCATGATTGTTCAAAGTACCTACAAATTTCCAATTTTATTTTTATAATATTTATTAGAGTTGTGATTATCTTTATATTATTAGATTAGGAAATGTCAAAATGCATACGTCGTATTGCATACTAAATCATATCTACGGTTTTTCCAGGCTTTTATATTCATGACGGAATTCCAAATATTATTTACACCGATATAATTTGATTTCGACGATGATCATATTATTAACTATTATTATTATATTATTGTTATATTTATAGTATATTATTATCAAGTTTTCAGAGCCAGTAATTGAATGTTTAAAACATTTATTTTCCAAGACTTATGATAATATTAACATTTTAAAGATAGTAGCTACCTATCTAAATAAACAAAAATTTTAAAATACATCATATTTGATTAGCTTTCTCTTAATGAAAATATTCAAGTTTAACTAAAATTATATCATTTTTATCGAATACAAAAATGACATAATTATTGTAGTATTGATAATAATGAATTAGTATTGTAACAATTTTCAATGATTTTTGTAACTTAAGTTACTTGTATCTAATTGTTACAAGTTACATAACAAATTGTAACTCGTTACATTTAAAAGTTACTTTAAAATTGTGAAACTGATTACAAGTTACAAATTACAAAAGTAACCGTTTTACGTAACTTTGATACATGTAACTGATTACTGCCCATCCCCCTGCTTATGCTTCGATTCAACATTTTGTAAAACTGCACTAATCGACACTGTTATTTTATAACTAACCCATACAACCATTCACTACGAATAATCAAAACAAACCAAAACACTCTTGTTACACGTGCAGCTGAAGATAACGGCGTGACACATTAGGGCTTATAGTCCCACTAGGAATCCAAATGTTGTGTAGACGCAACAATAACAAAACCGGTCAGTTATTTGAAAACTATAAATATGATGTTATCTATTTCTTACTAAAGGCTTTGTAAATGTAAATTGATAATTAGGAAAATCCCATTTTATTTTGAGTTGAGGTAAAAAAAAATCGACGAAAATATGGTATAAGAAATTCCAAATAGTTTCGTTCAATAACATACAAAAAAAAACCATTTTATAAATGTTTCGTTTACGCAACGTTGGGGATTAATGGGTAAACCTACACGCAACATAATACCGCCCGCCTTGAAACATTTTTTTTTTAAACTAACAGCGCTAATTTTTTAACGCAACAAATAAAGTAGATTACATAACATAATAAGCAATAATACATATAGATAAAAAAAAGATCATTCTTTCTCAGACACCAATCTGCCTCTATACTTACAAAGTATACAAAGTATTACTTTGTATTAAATTTATTCCAAAGAACATTCCTTTTTTGTACCTCAGATATAATGAGTTCCACATTGACCATACAACAATATCTAATATGTAAATATAAAATATTATAGTTAATCTAATCTATTTTTATATGTTTGATAATTTTATTCACCGCGTCGCCCGTATCGCAACGCCTTTACCACGATCACCTCGTTTACGTTGGACACAGCGTTGTTAGCCGTTATTTCCGTCAAACGGTAGTGGACACAGCTTGCGTGTAGTCCGAGTAACCAGTTTTGATTACCGCTGTTAAGTTTGCCCTCGTAATTTTAGAAAATAAAGCATGGAATAGAGTTAAAAATTTAGAAGCATGAAAAAATTGGTAACACAACCTCAAAACATTACCGAACAAAATCAAAACATAATATTCTTCCTTGTGGTACACCATGAGTAAGATTTATATTGAAACAAAACTCTTATTTAATATTAAGTTTTCACTTAAACAAAATTACGAAAGTGATTTTTTTTTTCTTTCTTTGATATCTACATGTTAACATGTTAATCTTTTATAAACATTAAAAGTTCCTTAATGTTTAAAAAATTAAAAAAAACAGTCTTACTTAAAGGACAATGAAGACATATCCTATAACATGTAATACTTAAAATTTAAGAAGAAGCCATAAAAACCCGTGTTCGGCGATAGTATCACTCAATAAATGTACCCTTATCAAAAAATCGTTCACGTTTTCGGGTAGTTAGAACGGATTTGAAGTACGTTTAAATTGGAGAGGATTTAGGTATTAGGATTTTAGATGGGGGATATTTATTGATAGTACTTGGCCGAATATATCTGACGGTGGTATTGCGGAGGAGTGTATCCTGATGAGGTTGTCAGATGGAGGAGGCATTTTGAGTAGATTGGTTGATTGAATGACTTTTAAAAAACTGAGATGATTTTTGTATTAGGTTTTTAGATAGGAGAGATTTTTTGCTAGTACTAGGACAAATGTTCTTGACGGTGGTATTAGACTAGGGTTCGTTCATAGTACTAATTTTAGCATTAACGGTTACATGTTGAGGGGTTTTACTATTGCTATCTTTGATAGTTATGGAATTTACATTATTTTCTGTATTATCTGGAAGAAGTCGGACGGTTAGAGCGTGCTAATAGGAGGCGGTGATTTTAGCCGGGACGCATAATTTCTTTCTTACACTTTTGGTGGGTGGGATATCAGTAGCGATATCAGTTGAATATTTAATCAGGTGAATAATTTTATTCGGGAGATTATTTGCTGTGGTATCGATGCGAGAGTCTAGATCGGTGGATGTATTTAGAAGGGGTTGGTTGTAGCTAACCATAGCAGCAGAAAAGCTTTTTCTTCACGAGTTTGATTTTTCCTTAGAGTTGTGGTTGGTTGTAGATTATTGGTGGTGTTGGTAGGATAGCGACTAATGGAACGTTTTAACTGTAACTCTTCTTTGATATGATACAAAAACTTAATCTTCTGCCTTTCATTCAATATTGTAGGATATTCTTGAATAAATTGTAATCCAGTATCTTTTGATTTTTCTGTGTCCAACAATAATTTCTTATCGTTAGCCATATTTAATTGTAGTTAATAAAACTATTTGGAACTTGCAAATATTTATCTTGTATATATTATGTTTTATAATGTACAAAAAATATTTTCAATTCCTTGTTGCAGATATTATACTGTTTATTAGTCATCATAGGTTTGTATACGCGGGGTACCATATAAACGAGAATTGTGGGATTATTGTTTATATATGATAATTAAGTTCAACTAGCCAATATTTGCTTTCTGTAAATATCTACTATTTTATTCCGATCTTAATGAAACGTTACTTTACACTTAAAATCCAAAACAAAAGGGAAGGTCTAGATTTTTCTATATTTAATGTTTAAAGAGTGACCTATTTTTTTGACATTTTAATGTCAACCAATGGAATTATTCTGAGTCATTTCTAGTTTGCCTTATTAATATGGATGTAATAATTAATAATAATAATGAAAATAAAATATGTGATCACATTGCTATTGTTTTAAGTGGGAAGTTGGAAAGGTAGGATACAGAAAATTATTTTATTTACATCATTAAAAAATGATGTAAAACATTGCCAACAGAACACAATTCTGATTCTAAATCAATTTTTAAAAAAATATATTACATTATGCTCAACTTATTGATGTTTCGACTTTTATGTGAATGTTGCAATATATCTTATAGCAGGTAACCTGTATGGTCCAAACGATTTTGATCACTGGTACGATACAAGTAATTATTGAGATCGATTTAATTGTTCCTGTCAGCGGCGTCACGGGAAATCTGTCGTAACGTCGTTAGCGAACGAATGATGTGTACAAAAAAAATTTAAATACGACAAATCGATAGTGTTTTATGAGAATATCATTAAAGCTCGTTTCGCCACGTATAGATTATCCCGAATTGTGGCAGTTTTGTTGTTGTTATTAGTATTACAATAATAAATGTGCTACGAATAAAAACGAATATTGAATTTTCTTCGATACGCGTCTGATTAACATAATACAAATCACGTTTTCGTATAATAAAATATAGCTGCAGGTATAAGCATCAATAAACATATCGCACACCCGCACAACAATAATATATATGTGTAGGTATATATATAATAGTCATATACAATAAGTTTTTAACATTAAAATCATTAAATACGTAACGCATAGTCGTAAATACAGTTAAGTATGATATATTTTAAATCTGGAAATCAGTTTAATTACATTAAGCTTATATGCAGAAATCAATTAGTGCTTGAGAGACACATGAAAAGAAAATAGCCACCCAATGGCGACACTTTATATCGGGATTAGTTTAATTTTAATAAGGTTTTTTTTCTATAGAATTAAGTCCCGACGCCGTTTTCTCTTTAACCTGCGAGGGTAATTGCTAGGAGTAGCGTCTAAATTTAGCGCTGAAATTAAGAGATTTGGGTGGTTTGTTAGTTACGAGAGCGGAAACGTTTATATGTATAATATACTTTAACTAAAAGTATACTTTAGAAATTTCTTCTTGTGCACTTTAACCACTAATAGGAAAAGTGATGGTTCTTCTAATGATATTGAACGCCAGGTAATTAATAGTTTATTTTATTATGCATCAAAGTTTAAGAGTTATAAACAGTTATTCTTATAATCTTGTTTTTAGTCTGACTGTGTTATTGATAAAACACCAATGAACATGAACAATCTTGAAAGAAAAAAGAAAACTAACTTGAACAGTACTGTAGAAGAAATGTCATCACTGATGAAATAAGTTGTCAGCAATTAGGTACTACGGAAGCCGTAACTGTTACATTTGATGATCTGGCTGGTTGTGTTTCAGTGTTATTGGTATGTTTACAAAAAAAAAAATCCTATTAAAGAGTAAAAATTTGTATCCATTATATTTAAACTTATTTTTAGGAAATATATCAATTAGTTATGCACATTAATCACCCAAAAGTTTATGAAACATTAGATGTGTCACCACTAAAATGATTCTTGCTACATGGACTACCTGGATGTGGCAAAACATTGTTGTCTCAAGAGGTAGCAGGGGTATATAATTTATTTTAACTGCTAAATTATTATTAAACTTTCTGAAATTATTATTATAAAACTATTTGTTAAGAGTTGAAAATACCTTTAATAAGCATAGTTGCATCACAACTTATGGTTGGTATAAGTAGAAAATCAGAATAACGGGTAAGAAAACTATTTAAAACTACTGTTAAGTCTGTACTCTATATACTTTTCATTGATGAAATAGATTCCATTTCCTCAATTAGCTAGCTAGCAATTAGTAGCTCAATTATTATCTTCATTAGACAGCATTATTTCAGGCTTAAAAGATGACAACAAAGTAATTGTGATTGGCGCTACAAACCGTCCCAACAGTTTGGATCAAGTATTGAGACGGGCTGTTTGGTTTGATCCTGAAGTTTGTCTTGGTATACCTGAGAGACAATTCTGTCTTCCAATCCAATGTTGGATGTTATATGTAAAAATCTATGAATCAATCCATCAGTCAGTTTAGATAAATTAAGTGAATTAAAAGTTATGTTGGTGCAGATTTAAAATCACTTACTTAGAAAGCTGCTACAATAGCAGCCAATAGGTAGATGTTTATAGTTATTATGTATTAAAGATATGGTTAAATAATAGTTATACTTAAAAAAAATAAAACACCACTTTTACACCAAGAATAGTAATAGACTTAGTAATCATCTATTATATATATATTTTGTTATTTAATATAACATATCTGAAAACCCTAACAATAAACTTTCAAAATAATAAAACTAAAATCACATGCTTTTTATCACACAAGATTTTAAAATATAATTACACATTACACATGACAAAAATGACAAACAAATTTATAAAATTATAACACCAAGATATATATGATTGTTATGAGCCATAGGTTAGAGCTCTGATTTCGTACATTATAGTAAATATAACAATATTTTAACAAAATTTCTCTGAGAAACAATGTAAAAACATTTTTTCAACAGTAAAATTGATTTATCAATAATAAATAAACATTATATGCATGTTATACGCATTTATGAACTAATATGCAATAATCTTCCGGACATACAAAATATGTATAGTCAAATTTAGTGTGAATGAATCGTAGACAATTCAAACCCCCATTGATGTGCATACACTATGTACAAACATGTAAATTCATATAATTTTGGGGTCTAGTTATAACTAAAAAATGTATTGCCATAATTTAAAAAATTAACTCCAAAAACTATATCAAAACAATTAAAGATACAATTGATGAATTAAATTAGTTATGTTTCAAGTTTTAAAAAAATAATTAAATTAAGACAACATTGTACATATTATATTTTAATATATTTAGGAAACATTCTTTTGTTAAATAAATAAATAAATAATTTAAACTTTTGATAATTTTATAAAATTTGTATTTTTTTTTTTTTTTCTGAGGTTAGGTTATTAATTAGTTGAAATAATGGTTAAACACAAATGTCTGAATTTAGAAATTAAATATTATGGTGTTAACAAAGTGTATGAGAATAATAATAATGCTAAATCTATTTTAAAATAATATACCAATAAATATTTAATAAGTAAATTTAAATAATGCGAATGTTGTGTTTATTATTATTATAATTGTAAACTGAATTATTACTCTTAAATCAAAAAAAAATATAGATTATTGTATATTTAGAGGTTTGAAGTCCATTATAACTGTTTTTAAATGTTTTTAATTGTTTATTCAGTTATGTTTCATTAAAATAAATGTGTATGTGTTTTAATAGAATAATTGAATCTATCAAAAAAAGATTACATAGCCAATTATCTGATTTTATTCCTGACCCATACTCAACAATTGAAAGAAATACAGTTAAAGATTCCTTGAATTTGTTACTTGCGGATAATATTATGGCAAAAGAAGACTTGAGTGAAATCTATATTAAACTCAGCGATTTCAATGAAGCTTTAAAAAAAGTTGTCCCTTCATCCAAAAAAGAAGGATTTGTTACAGTAGCTAAAGCTGTAGCAAATAAATCTGGTATTAATTTTATCTCTATAAAAGGTTCAGAGTTATTGAATATGGAAAATATATTTTTTTTTTTTTTTGGATCAGGTTCATTATGAATTTCTGAGATTGGAATAAGTGGCTTCAATAAACTGATTTCACATAAGAGATCAAAAAAAAAAAAAATTAAATTATTTTTAACAAGTGTTTGATTCCTGTAATTTATTGTTATAATTTATAAAATTCTTACCTTTGGCTGGTGATTATTTAATTGCTTTATAATTGTTTATATTTGTTGATACTTTTGTTTTTTGTTATTTGTTTGTAGTTTATATTTGTTGTACTTTAAACAAATTATTGTATTCGTTTAATAGAGATTGCACTAGAGAAAATTTTTTTTTTATTCCTTTTTTTGTTGATGGTTAGATGCTTTTTAAATCCGATAACATTATATAGAGAACTTTTTCGAAGTTGTTTTTAGCATTTGTATTACTGTTTGGTATATAAGGTCTTTCGCGAAAGGATTTTTTATTTCATTTCTAGTTTAACCGCATCACCAACCCTTTCTCCCCGCTGACACCTAACACAACATTTAATAAAACGTTTCGCTTCGCCTGAGTCGTGTGTATCGTAGGGTTTACGATTCCACGTGTACTTAAATACACGGTGATAAACAATTTTGTCACCTTAATTTTTGAGGGTGAAATGACTACCTTCCATATAGCAAAACATTGTTTTTCTGATATCAAAAAAATATTTTATTTTTAATGATACCTTTCATTATATTATTGTTACATTAAAAATGTTATTTTATTGTTTTTATAATGTTATTTGGCCAACAGTTTGAGATTATATAAATATCAAGAGTAAAATGATAATTTATCATTATTTTAATTTACAAATAGAAATATGAGAAATAAAAATAAAAAAACGGAGTTTCATTTCTTTTGCCGCCAGGTATTGGCCCTGAGACCCTGCCTAAATTAACCTAATTCACCTAACGCCTTATCCTCTGGAACCAACCGTTTATAAAAGCCGCCCTGTTATATTTTTTCAAAAATGAATCTATATTCTCAGATGTAGCCCCTGAGAAGTGTTGTGTGAGCATAACATTACAATAATCTATAAAATGTATAGATAAATAGCTGGATCTTTTACCCGGTGCATACTTGTGTTATTTTATCGCGCGATAACGCTGCGGCTTTAAGTACCATTCATATCTTCTCCAAATATAAAATAGTACGGTTTACTAGAAAATTATTGACCCATAGTTTGAAGGCCACTGTACAAGACTACATACCTAATTGTTGAGAATGAATTGATTTTATGACTACATAAATTATATTCATACGAGGTGTGGCTATTAAATAACGAGACTTCTCGTCTAGATGGGTAGTGAAAAAAACGAGCAATGCGTTGGGTATCTAGATATCTTATCTATGCACGTACAAAAACACGTTTTCGTCACTATTATAGTATTTGTGCAGTAGTAGTTTGAAACGAACGTGTTTTTTTCTCGTGCCGAAAACCATGTGTGACGAAAAACATGAGCAACGGATTAACGTAAAATTTTCTCGTTAAACTGAAAAAAACTCCAACTGAGTGCTATAAGTTGTTAAAAGAGGCCTATAGTGAGAATTTCCTATGTCGGGCGCGTGTTTTTGAGTGGTATAAATTATTTTCTGAAGGTTGAGAGTGCACCGGAATCCAATTCAGTCGTAATCAGAATTCAAAACCGTTTTCTTCGATATCAACGGCATCGTGATGACTGAATGGGTTCCAGAGGGTCAAACTGTGAACTAACATTATTATTTGACAGTTTTGGCAACATTGCGCATATGAGTTCGTAAGAAACGGTCGATATTGTGGAAAAACAAGTCGTGGATCTTGCACCAGGATAAAGCATGAAGCGTTATTTGGCCCTTTAAGGCACTCCAGTACTCGAACACGCGTCTTACTCACCCGACTTGGCACCCTGCAACTTTTACTTGTTTCCGAAGATAAAGTCTGCCTTAAAAGGAATCCGGTTTGAGTCGATGGAAGAGGTGAAACAAAAATCGGCGGAACTCCTAAATGATCTTACGAAATCAGACTTTCAGCACTGCCTCGAGCAATGGAAGAAACGAATGAAACGGTGTTTGGCGAGGGGAGGGGAGTATTTGAATATAGAATATAGAATAACTTTTATAGTAAAACACTTTCGTAACCAGTCTCGTTATTTAATAGCCACACCTCGTATTATACCGAATTACAGCAAAGACCAAGTAAAAATTAAAATTCCTTAAAAGCTCAAAAATGGCTCAAAAATTTTAACGTTAATACAGTAAGAAAGTAAATTAAAAAGGTATCTTGTGATTTTTCGATTAAATTATTTTTTCTGGAAGAAAACGGTTCATGTTTTTATAAATTAATGAAAACTTGAAGTTATACGTTTTCTCACTTAAGCGCTTTTATTTCAAAAATGACTTCGAAATTAAAAAAAAAAACCTCTTTAATTTACTATCTAGACAACTTGAGCTTTCAAAAAAGGTGCTAAACTTATACATCGGAGAAAGTTTACTAGGAAAAAACGTGTCCACAGACTAGAACAAAAGAAGATAAAAAAATTAACTAAATTGTAAAACTTTAGCTCCTTCGTTACACTCGGAATCTAAAAAAGCTGATACCGAGGACGAGTGTAGCTACTGTTGTAGATGGGAAGTTGGAAAGGTAGGATACATAAGGTTATTTTATTTATATCTAAAGTAAGCAACGATAAATCATTATTCTTCTTCTTTGGGTGTTAGAAACCTCAAGGACTATCATATTAAAGATTTAGCCTTCCATCAATTTCGGTCAGCTGCTCCCGCCTTTTAATCACTTTTTCCTCCTAGCTCATCCGCATCATTCTTCACTACATCTTCCCATCTCATTTTCGATCTTCTAATGGGGCTCTTTACTGTAGGGTTCTTTTCTAGTACCGTACGGAGTAATGAGTTTTGGTATTTCCAAGCATTTGCTGCCCATTGAAGTCTTTTACTTTATATTGCCTCAACATGTATAGTTTTTGGTATATTTATTCTAACTTCTCGTTTTTCCTTATCTTCCAGTCATTAGTTACAATTTCTTTTAGTTACGGGTCCGAGAAGATAATTTTTCTTTTAAAAGCGAGAAGACTGTTTTCGTCGGTTTTCCGAATTGCCCATATGTCTGCTCCATATCTAACAATTGATCTTATCAAGGTAATGTATAATCTCTTGACAGAGATCGAGCTCCTTACAGCTTCGCTGAACCAAAAAAACATGTGTTTCCGGCCTAGATTATCGTTTCTATTTCCTTTGTTGTTTCACTATTTTCTGTTAGAATCGTCCCCAGGTACTTGAACTGATCCACTTTCCCTAGTGAAATTTCGTTTTGGAAACATTGCTATCATTAAAAGTTAGAGCAAAATTGCCGGAATTTATTTATCTAAAACTTCATCTATTTATGGAATTTTAATCTAGGTTACCATTTGAAAGTCAAGAGAAAGTACGTTTCACTGCAAAAAAAAAAAATGACGAAAATAATGGAAATGGACAATTTTAAAATTATTCTTTTATTGATGAAAAAAAATAAAATGTTTGAATAAAGGCAATGGTAAGATAATAGTACCCACAATAATTGTCAATTTATGATTATCTTACATGAAATCAAACGGCGCATGTTATAGGCAATTTTGATACATTCTTGAATAGGATGACAATTTAATGTATTATTTTATTACATTTTCGTTAAAAAATATAATAAAATAGTTTCGTTGATAAATAAATGTTTTATATAAAATATAATTATAATTTTTACAGACACAAACAATACTTTACTAGAATAAAATATTAACAATAAACCAACGCCTGTAGAAATAATATGTGAAAAAAAAGGCATACAAGAGTTTTCAATTTCACCGAAATTATCGCCATGAATGGACGAAGTCAAATAAAAATCATTGGTAAATAACTATTAAATGTATTAAATCGATACCGGTCTAAAATTTATTTTTGTTCAACAAATATTTAGTTTTTATTTATTTATTTTTCTTCATAAATTACCACTATAATCATAATCATAATCAATACGTTATTATTATTATTATAAATAAGATAATTGTTGATTCATAAGAACAATTTGGGGGCTAGAGACTCGCGCAAGGGAAAACGTACCTTTACTTAAACGTACCACAAAAAAAAAAAAACAAATTAAGCTTTTTCAAAAAAGTTGCTTAGATTTAATGAAAAACGATTCCGTTCGCAAACCTTAAGGTTTTAATACCGAAAAATCCTTGTTATGTAAAATTTAGCAACATCCTCGTCAATGTATTTATAATCCCTGTGATTATTTATACAGTATAAATTACACATAATTATAAAGTTAAATTGAATTATAATTATTGATAATGATAAATACATATTACTAAGAAATTATTTATGTAATGGCATTCTAAATATAAAAAAAATCTACTTCAAATGTTTGGTATTGTGTAGATGAGTGAATAAAAGAAACATTCTATTCTGGTTCAGATATTATTTCGGATTTTCCACGACTCGGAGCAACTGTCTGCATATTTTTTTTTTTAAATAATTGATCAAAATCTATTTAAACGGTTATATAAAATAATTGATTGTAATAAATTGAAATTTTTGCAATCAGTATGTTTAATTTAATAAATATTCCGTTCGCAAACCTTAAGGTTTTAATACCGAAAAATCATTTCTATTATATTTTTTATCAAATTTTTAAAAAAATATGAAGGATAACCAAAAAATAGAGCTCAACATACAATTTATGGAGTTATTAAAGATATTTTTAAAAGTCGTTCTCAGACTCTTTCGTCGGACCATCATAAACCAAACCCACATCATAACTTACTTACTGATCTTTCTCATTCATAAGA